GGCACCTTTAGTTAACCCCTCCCACCCAGTCTATAGGAGGCTGCACCATTAGTTAACCCTTCCCACCCCAGCCTATAGGAGGCTGCACCTTTAGTTAACCGTTCCCAACCCAACCTATAGAAGGCTGCACCTTTAGTTAACCCTTCCCACCTAACCTATATAGATCAGGTCTAGGGTGATCCACAGGGCCCAGATGCACACAGCAGCCACCAAGCAGGGCAAGGTGCCCACAGAGAATGCCCATCAGTGGAAGGATGGCACCGTTTGGGTCAAAGGGGAGCTTGATGAAATGATAAGGCCTACTAGCTCCTACCCATGCCCCCACAACGAGGAGACTGGCCAGCACCTGTTTCTGAGCCGCAATGCGTTTCTGGTCCCTCTTCCGCCAGGCTGGGTCATGCAAGTGGCGAAATGTCTGGTACCCAGTTGTGATTCCTGAGGGGCGGAAAAGCTAAGGAAAACAAAAGAAGTAGGGGTCAGGCTGCCTCTCTTGTCATCTTGGCCCTTACCACTAACTTCTCTGGGATCCCACTGGCTGTCACAGCAGGGCTCTTACTGCCATCCCGCAGGACAGGAGTCCGGCAGAGAGCCCTGCAAGTCAGCATGAAAGCAAGGATCAGAACCAGGGCAACCAAATGCAAACCCCAAGATGCAGCAAGGAAAGGGACCCTCGGGACAGCCATGTAGCCCAGGGCCAGGCAGTGTGGGAGGAGCCTTACCTGGAGGCCAGCTCCCGTGATGCGCCGGTAGAATTCATCATCCTCTCGGCCCCAGCCCCAGAAGCGGTTGGACATCCCATTGCACTGACACAAAGACAGGCAGTGTCTGTCACATGCCCCTCCTCCCAGGGTGCACTTTAGTCTCTTACTGCTCAGGAGAATCAAGCCTGAGCCCAGCCAGCCAGGTTCCCCCTTCTTCTTCCTGCCCTGACTGTTCCGAGTGATACAGGGCACTGACCAGTCCCTTTACTCTGCGATGGGGACGCGAGGCTGAACAAAATGGTCAGCACATCTTAGGCCCTCCCCACTCCTGACAGGGCCTTGAACTTGTATGTGATAAATATCTCGAGGGCCAGCTCCCTTCAGGGGGCAAAAAATGCCAACTGCTATGGCTTCTGTCTTCCTCTCAGAATCATTCTCCTGAAGTGGCTCTGCCCAGTTCTTTCCCGTGTGTCTGAGGGACAACCCTGATTAGCATCTGCTCAGGGACTGCAGCCATGGAGGACAGAGAACAGTCACTCCAATCTTCTCACCTGAGTGTCCCTGGGTCCCATCGAGAACCAGTATGCTTTAGTTTGGGACTCCTGTCTAGACTTCTGAGGAGGAGGGGCTTCATCTCCCACCAGCCAGGCCACATTTCACAGGCCGTGGCGACACAGCCTTCTGACATGAGAGACATGTAAAGTAGTGGCGTGTAAAGAGAAAGGAGGGCCAGGTGACACTGCTGAGGGAGAGTCTGCAGTCATCATACCACCAGCTCTCTGTGGCCAGCAGGTGCAGGGGCTTCTGCGGTCACAGCAGAGCTCTCCCTGGCTAATGTGCTCGCTCCTGTCCTCCCTCATGTCTCTGAGTTCCCTGTCAGGCTCAGGCAAGACTCGATCTGCTAGGCCCCAGGAAGGCTGTTCCACCCCAACTGCCTAGACCCAGGGTGGAAGGTCCCCAGCAAATGAGTAGAGCAGGTAGGGCTGGGCCTCACCAGCTGGTAGTGCTGCTTGGAGAGCAGCAGGATGCCGCCCACATAGGTCTTGTAGTGGTAGAGAGGGTGGAGCTCTGGGGAGGCCACGTGGAAGGGCCCGGCCTCTGGGAAGCTATAATCCAGCTCCTCATTGAGAGGGAGCAGATCCACGTCGTGCATGGCGATGTAGTCTGTGCTGTTGCTGCTCTCCAGGAAGCCCACGTTGATGAGTGCCGCCCGATTGAACCTACACAAGATAAATGATGCCAGGAAAAGGAAGCCAACTTGTTCATCGACCTAGCTCTAGCCCTTACTGTGCATGAGAGTTTCTGTCACCACCCAACACTGACATCACGATAGGGGCACTGTCCCTTCTGCTTGCTGCACAGGTGTTTATGGAACACCTAGTAAATACCCGCAACTGTTCAAACCCACAATGGAAGCAATAGCATCGGGAAACAAATCCCTGCTCTCAAGGCCTTCGGATAGGAAGAAGCAAGTTAAACAGGGTGGAAGGGAACGGAAACGGGAGGTGGGCACTCTCTGCCTCCTGAGTCCTGGGATTAAAGATGTGCACAACCACCGCCCGGCTGAGAAATCCTGTCTTGAGAGACAAGAGAGACCCTTGAAGAAAGGGAAAGGAATAAAGAAGTGGGGTGATAGCAATGGGGGGTTTCAGAAGCCCTTTTCCCTTCTTTTTCTTCTCTCTCTCTCTCTCCCTCTCTCTCTCTCCCTCTCTCTCTCTCTCTCTCCCTCCCTCCCTCCTTTAAAGATAGGGTCTCACTGTGCAGCCCTGGCTGTCCTGGAACTGGATATGTAGCTAGCTTTAAACTCCCAAAGACCCACCATTCTCTGACTCCCCAGTGCCAGGATTAAAGGAGTATAACGCCATTCCTGGATCCCTCCTTTTAAAACATTAATTGAGTATCTATGCAAGTCAGAGTGGTGGAGGTCAAAGGACATCTTGTGAGAGTCAGACCTCCCCTACCACCACGTGGATTCATCAGGCTTGGTGGCAAGCTTCTTGCATCCCCACTGCCAGTTGGGAGCATTATCTCTGTGCATTTATGTGCTCACATGATGACATGAATCACCAAAAGAGAAGAGCAGACTCTGTAGAAGAGGCCCTGTGACTACAGCACTGACCTTGAGGAGCAAAGAGGGCTGGGACAGGGCTTGCTGGAAGGTGAGTGGGGATGGAAGGGACTGAGGAAAGAGCTGCTCCAGGGACTCTGCGTTATTGACCCTTCTGTGGCCTTATACAACAATTCTACATACAGTGATCTTCCTGGAGAAGACATCAGATCGGGGCCCACCCTAAAGGCTCCCATATACCCAGGGGAAGGGGCCTATCTCCTCCCACCATCGGGCCCTTCCTCCCAGTAGCCCCTCACAGGCCTGAGCCCACTGAACAACAGGAACAAGCACTAAGCCATGGGCAAGGAGAGGCACTGGAACCAGCGGCGCTGCTCAGGGACCGGTCCTCACCTGAAATGATCCACCTGGTTGAGCACATAGATGTGGTGCTGGATCTTCTTCTTGCTTAGGAAGCGGTGCATGTGGGGCACAAAGACCAGGAGCTCCTCAAAGCGTTCCCGGAAGGGTACCAGCACTGCCAAGCGGTGCGGTCCCCAAGATGCATCCTCTTCCCAGTGCTCGGGGGGCGGCTCTGGAGGACAAGCCCGAGGTGGGCCCGAGGTCTCCTGCCCTTGTCCCCTGGTCACCTGGGCCATGTCTCCAGAGCAGCTGAGCTGCAACCAGAGAAGGGAGAAGAAGACCAACAGGAGAAAGGCAATGAAGAGGTGGAAGATGGAGCACTTCCGCCGGAGGCCTCCAGGAAGCAGCCTGGCCCTAGGATAAGAGCAGGAAGGTCAGGAGGACAGGCCAGCTAAGATCCTTCCAAGGCCCTTTCTCTGGCCTCCTTCTCTAAAGCCAAATGACTGGCCTTCCCTCAATACCTGTTTAGTGCAGAAGCAATGTTTAATGTTTTTGCTCATGCTACTACCAATTATGATCAGCCCATTCACCTCTGTAAGCCCAGCCTGTGCTATCCCTGGAACATTTTCAGACCATTTACCTCTGTAGGTCTAGCCTGTGCTACCGTCCTGTGGTAAGCCATGTGCAACTCAGTTTCCATCTGGAGTCAGTTCTGACTTATAAGTCATTTGAGGTCAAGCTTGCCTGCTCTGCTTTTTCTAGTAACCTTGAGGATTGTGAGAAACTTCTGAGTTAGCCCATGGGAAAGAGCATTCTGCCCGTGAAAAAGAACACTCTATCTAGCAGAAAGACTACTGCTGCTGCCAAACCTCAGGAACATCAAGATAGAAAGCGAGGCTGCTTCAGAGCAGCAAGCACATGTGAGTTAGGAGGCTGCTCACTCAAGGCCAGGAATCTCGTGGTTAGATACTGTCTGACTGACTGTGCTGTGCTTTCTTCTGCTTTTACATATAAGCAAGTTCTGAAATAAATTCTGGGCTGTTTGACTGTTGGGTTTTTTTTAAGATTTTTTATTTATTATGTGTACAGTATTCTGTCTGTGTGTATGTCTGCAGGCCAGAAGAGGGCACCAGATCTCATTATAGATGGGTGTGAGCCACCATGTGGTTGTTGGGAATTGAACTCAGGACTTCAGGAAGAGCAGTCAGTGCTCTTAACCTCTGAGTCATCTCTCCAGCCCTGTTTGACTATTTTGACATGACCAAACAGACCTCCCAATTCAATGCTGTGTTTTCTGTCTCCGTTTCTTTCATTTGACATTTCCTTAGACTTAACGTTCCCCCAACCTAGCTGACTTTGTGGGATCAGGCTCCAACACCTGCACCCCCCACCTGGGACACTCTCAGACCACTTACAGTTACCCTAGTTTTCCCATGACTTCTCACACTCTGAGGACTCCAGTCAGAGTGCTCAGGAGAAAGGACGCACTCACCGTGCCTATGTGTTCTCCCTAGGGCAGTGTCTTGAGATCCTCGGCCAATGGCAGGGGTTCCAATATAGAAAGATTCAATCCACTGATTTCCAAACTCCAAACTCATTCCCCAGAAAATTCACCCCAGCAGAAATGTTATTTTGTCATGCTGCTAAGGTACCCAGAAAGCCCCCCAAAAGGCATGTGTGCTGACATAAGCCCCAGGCAAAATGGCCAACATTTAGTCTAAGAAGCTCAAAACTGCCCGACAAAAGGTACAAAGGGATAGTGGCAGACCACTGGGTAACCAATAGGATGGGAGATAAAGATAGAGGACAGGGCTGTGTTCAGCATCTCTATCCTACATGTCAGAAACTGGACAAACAGCTGAATATCTCAGATACTGGGAGATGCTGGGAAACTGCCCTTCAGTTTAACAATCACAACCAAACAGGTAAAAAGCCCTGCGTGGTGGCCATGGTGCATTTCCAGTTCAAGGTCAAACCAGGCTACATAGTGACACTGTCTCAAAAACCGACAAAACAAAGAAGCAAAAAAAGAAACCGTAGAATTCACCTTTGCCTTCTCTGAAAGTTCCTGAGGATACCAGGAATGGCTCTAGAAATCTAAGAAGGAAGCTTCCTCTACAGTTGCTCCTGCCTTCCTGCCCAAGTGACCAGTAAAGAAATCTACTTTATAACCTCTAAGAGTCAGGAAATGGAACATAATAAACAAATAAATCTTTGCTGGAGAGATGTTTCAGAGGTTAAGAGTCAGGAATTGATCATCAGGTCTTTTTTGGGGGGGGGCGGGGTTGGTTTTTTTGAGACAAGGTTTTTCTGTGTAGCCCTGGCTGTCCTAGAACTCACTCTGTAGCCCAGGCTGGCCTCAGAATCACAGAGATTTGTCTGTCTGTCTCTGTTTCCTGAGTGCTTGGATTAAAAGCGTGTGCCACCACCACCTGCCTGGTTGTCTGATCTTGGACTCTACCTCCTAAATTCTCCTGCAATCATCTTGACTCCTGGTCCTTGCCCTGTTCTTCACTTTCAATCTTACAGCTGTCCAGCCTCTGTTTACAAGGTAAAGGTCCTTGTCTGGCAGTCAGACTCCTCTGACAAAGTGCCTGTGACTTTTGTCACCTCTCCATTTTCTCGCAAGCATTCCCGCTCACCCTGAGCAACCAGGGCCCTTTCCACTTACCACGTTCCTTCCTGCTCCAGTCCTTCCTCACCCCACCTGCTTCTCCTACTTGACGCCCCCTTATTTTAACTGTGTATTGGTTCCCTAGCAATCTTTCAAGGCCAAAGATCCATGTCATGGCCGTCACTGCCCCCGCCACATTCCCAAGTTCCCTGCTTTGTGTTCTTAGGGTACCTGGCACTTCCTTCTTTACATCGCTGATGTGTGGTGAGCTGCATGAGCCTACTTTCAGTATGTGTCGTATTCTTCTCTATGGCTCAGGCCCAGTCAGGGAGTGAGAGTTAAGGAAGGGTTGAGGCACTTCAAGCATGCTTTAAGTCACACACTGGAGCCATGCCCACGCCTACCTTCTCTCTAAAGACACAAGTGCAAATCTGGAAGCCAGCAGCCCTAAAGCCAGGCCCAGCTCCCACATGCAGCTGCGAGGTTGCCCAGTAGGACAGCCCTCACGGGCTTTCTGACTTACCCCCCATCATCTTGTGGTGATGGTTTCCACTGTGGAGCAGTAGAGTCCAGACCTGCAAAAGGTCTGACAAGCCTGGAACCTTTACAGAGTCTTTCTTGCACTCTGAGCTCTTTCTGGGAGCAGGGCTGAGACTTGGATGAGGGACAATGGGTACCAGACCTCCTTCGGGGGAGAATAAGCAATGGCCATTCTTAATAATAAGCAGTTATCCAGGAGTATGGCAGGGACCGGACACTCCATGCACTTGCTCGGGATGTTTCTTCAATCCAACTTGCCCTTTCTATGAGGATCGCAGTTCCCAAGGGCACTCTCACTCTGTGCTCCAAAGGCCAAATCCACTAAGGGTCCCAAGTCTATCAATAAAGCTGATGATAGTGAACATTGAGAAGATATTGTTGGTGCCACCTGGTGGCAGTCTCCAGAACTGCAGTCCCAGGTGCTCGCACATCCAGGTTCGGAGGGACACTTTAAAAAAGGGTTGGTCTCCTTTATCAATCAAAGCCTAGGGCTAATTAAAGGTGCGTCAAACCCAAGCAGGCTTGTTCAATAGCTAGTACCCATTTACTACAGTACTTTATACTTGTTGCATGGATCTTTGCCACTGTGTCAAAAGCACAGAATGGACATCAATCTATTTTTCTAAGAACACAATAAAAGAAACGAATCTTAAGATGGAAATTCTCCTCTATTTCCTCCATATATGATCTTCATTAAACTTCAAGGAGCCCTTCCAAGTAGATAATGTGATTCCTCATTTCAGAGATGGAAAACTGAGGTCAGAAAAACTAAGTGGTCTGTTTCTGGCCACCATGTTACTGTCACATTTTAACATCAAATCTAAAAAGAAAATGTGTCCACTAAGTTCAAATCTTATAATACCTACTAAACGTGTCACTCATTAAATGAATATCCACTAAGGTATGCTTTGGTGAAGAAGGATGGGGGAGGGGAGCATATTTCAAGCCTGGAGTATATTGTCCCTATAAATCTAAGCAGGGAAATCACCTCCCCTATTCTGCTTCAGGGAGAAATATCTTAAACTCATCAGGCCGGGTCAGATTCCCCACCTAACACTAGAGGCTGAACCCAGGCAAGTACAACAGCACAGGAAACGGGACTAATGGGTGTGTCTAGTATAAGCCAGGCAATGGCGAACCAACCACGCAGAGAACATAGGAAGCTTCTGTCTGGTGTGATCTTCCGGGCCAACCGCAAAATATGAAGAAGCACGAAGGAAGGAGGTAGGATCTGAAGTCACAAGGATGTGGTGGGGCAGACAGAAAAGAAATAAAGACCCTCGGTGCAACAACATAGAGAGATCCTCTGTAAGACGTGAACGGAACCAGCGTGCCGCAGGAAAACAGACGAAGCAATGAGAGAAACACACACACACACACACACACACACACACACACACACACACACACA